ACGCCGAGCTACGCATATTCTCATTTATTTCAAATATATATATATATATATATATATATATTAAAAATCATAAACGAGGCTGGAGTACTAAATGAAAGCTTACTGTAAACCAGTTAAATGTAAATGTAAGTCCATGTTAATACGTAGAAAAAGAGAACCGATTAGCCGCAGTGCATAAGAAACTAATGTGGCATATATAGTGAGACGTTCCAACCGGGCCGTTCTTAACCAGTGCAACACGGTAAGCGCATTGCTAAGTATATAGTTCAAACAATGCGCACGGAAAAACGGGACCGAAATGGCCAAAAGCGTGAACGAGGGGATACGCTATTCCCTTTGGCATTATTTGGTGTAAACGGATAGTCCACTCAAACTGGTGGCTGTTAACTAATATTTCAACAAATGAAAACACAAAAAGGATGCCGTGAGAATCATAGTGGTAGTAGTCGCATTGTAGTTAATCATCTGCACCATGCTTTAAGTTATTTGATTACTCGCAAATGTGAACTAGTTGTTGGCAGTTTAATCTATTGTAGCTATTATCACCATTATTATTTGGCTTGAGGATAAGGGGAATCAAAGTAATCTGATTCGCAGCATTTCGGTTCGCGGGTTAGAATCGATCAAATAACCTGAAATTTTGTCTAACCAAGCCTAACCAAGATAGGCTGCCCGATATTAACATATACTCCAACACGGCAGCAGATATAGTGTTGCCAACTTCCAACTAACAAACTCCGGCGTTCTCGACAGATATGAGCAACGCTTCGCAATCATCTGACCTCAAACGCAGTTGACTTCTTAATGTCCTTAGTGCACAATGACCATCCATTTAGTCTATAATTTTACGGGACCTCTAGCCCAAAAGCGGCAGAGGGCAGAAGAGGGCCGTCTACGGTCAGTTCAATCACGTTTCATTTGGCGTCGTGAGCTGAAAGAAGTGATTCTCGTCACTCGCTGCACGTCCCTGGGAGACATGGCACAGAAACTTCCGACACGATACAATTTATCCAGCTTTCAATAGAATGATAGAGATCACTGCAAACAAGTGCGACTAAAAAGGTCGAATCCACCTGCACGTGACGGCAGTCCACTATGATCAGTCGTTTGCAAACCTGACGCGATGTTGAATCACCTGGCGGAGCGTAAAAATGCATCGTCAATGCATCGCAGGTTGGAACAGGACAAAGGTGGAGTTCTTCTCATACAACTTCCATTAAAGTCAGTTGGCCACAGAGGCAGAACGCAGGTGAGATTGACACCACTGGAAGTTAAGCAATGAGTGCTATCAGCCATTTGAAAGACTGGGCTGACAGTTGTCAAGCACCGAACAGAGTAGCAAAATCGGTATACTAGGAACAGCACACTTGCATATTTCCCAGTCACCTTAATCGCGCGAAGTATCGACAATGAAGAGGATCAAGGACCACAACTCTTGCGCCTTTCCTTCATCACAATCGACAAACGAGGATCTATCAGTGATGCCTACCAAAAGTGCACTGCACAACTGCACATGGTACGTGGCATCTGTTCGTTCATGAGCGTTTTTCGACCATTAGTCTGGTGCACAAAAAGAGTAGTAAGACGTGGTGTCCCAGACATCCACACAACAATCTTATTGAAATTAAGACTCGCAAAGGCGTTCTACTACGTTGGTTCGTGACCCAGTAATACAACTGGAACTCAGGTTGGTATTTGCGTCGGTCAATCAAAATGCATTTCATCTACGACCTAATTTGCCTAATGTCTGTATGTTAAAGCAGGTCACAGGAGGATACTTCGGATAAACGTGTTCCAGCATGCCTAGATGTGAGTGAAATCGCTGTGCCGACTGTAACCCAAGTGTGCACCAGCACCAAGTTCATTGCGGCATCAGTCCGATCGTCGGCCCAGTATACGAGTTGGATAATGTTCAGCTGAAGATTGGTGTGAGAACCAAATCAATAAAGAGGCAATGTATTGAGAAAGAGCAAGAGAGAATACGCCCATTGCTTGTTGTCGAAGGCACAATGTGTGGCTGAAATTATTTTTCATATAAAGGGAAAAGTTGTTCCACCTCGTCACGCTCTTCGCTTCAAATAAGGCGTACCCGGGGAACGATGCGGTAGACACGATCAGAAGCACATCTCAATAGTCGGCCTTGAGACGTATAGTATTAAGAAGTCAGACATGCAACATTCGTTTCATTTCAGTTGCCAACTGCATACAATAACCTGCTCTAAGTGTGAGCACCATTGATCCTTCGGCTGAGCCCTAGTTACATGCAAAATCGCTCCAATGGAGCATCTGGGTAATAGCGATCGAGCGTCGAATGCGTATGCAACAGGATGAAAATCGCTCAGTGACAAGAATAACCAATGACAGTTCGGTCAGCCCACAACAGTGCTCCCCGTGGTCAACTATAATCCCGCGCGCGAAGTTTCGAATTAGCCATATTCATGATCCTCTCTCATTGAACACAACACTAGAGTTTAAATGATATCCATTAAGCCGGCAAACGGTGGATGCTCTGCCGAAGTGCGGACGCCCGTACGGTAGCACTCGCGTCAGTCACTGAATATTCACTATACAGAATGGAGAACAAGGGCGCATCAAGACAGAGATCAGAGGGATCGGCACATTCAAAAACACACTACGCCGACCGATCCAATAAACACGAGCAGCCGAAGGTAGATTGGTTGACAAATACAAGACAACAACATAGCCAGCACTGCCCTCATATTTTGATGTGTAATGCATGCATTGTCGCACAGTCTTCGAATACCCTGTTCTAAATAGCACCACGTTTGAAGAAATCGTAAAACCCCATCGGAGTAATAATGCATCGCATGGAAAACACAATGCACTGATGCAACCGCGGAAATAAGTCAACATAATTCTGTAAGGAATGCACACGTGAGAGGATACAGGTGGTGTTGGATAGTAAGCCAACCACCTCGACAGCTAAATGGACATATAGCCCCTCGGTGATCAGACTACACAGGCAGCCGGAAAGACGGAAGCAGCAAGAGTCAACAGCTCAGTAAAGCATAGGTCAGCTGGTCAACTGGAACCGGGGGAAGCGGTTCAGCCACCGTTGTTGGCACCATTAAATCAAAAAGAGTAAAAGGAAAACGCGCCAGGGAAGGAATTTAAAAGAAATATAACCGCTTGGAAGGATGCGCAGATGGGTGCAAGAGACTTGGTGCGAGAATGCCATCGAGTTATCACTTGCGTAACACGGGATAAGATGTTTGGCTACTGATGGAGCCGATCCCGACACTTTCCGACAGCTGGCAAAAATCGGCCCTAAAAACTAGTTGACCACTTCGTGATTCGTTATTCACTGATAACTGTGTGAACTTATCACGTCGAGTGGAACCGAACGGGTGAACGGAGTTTAGACACAAATAATTTGCCCTCATCTGTGACAGCTCACAAACGTACCAAGCCGAGCTGGACAGATTAGCACTGGCTGTCAGCCGCTTCGAGCTTTGCTGTGCACCAACGAAATGCAAAGCGTTCCTCCAAGATTGGCACGGATAGCCTCCTGCGCTGACCCTTGGTGGTGATCAGCTAGAAGTCGTTTAAAAATTCAACTACCTGGGAAGTTGTATCAGCGCCCTTGGGATCGAAGACGAGATCAAGAACCGTATAGCAAAAGCTCGAAGTGCTTTTGCTAACCTTCGCCACTTATGGCGCCGGCGCAACATCACGCTTGCCCTGAAGGTTAGAGTCTACAATGCAGTGGTACCTTCTACCCTACGGTACGGTTGTGAAACCTGGCCCATAAGATCAGCGGACATGAAGAGGCTAGTTACGTTCGACCATCGGTGCCTTCGCAATTTGGCTCACATCTGGTGGGAACACCGCGTGAGCAACGAGCGTGTTCGACGCCTTGTTTACGGCACAGGAAAAGAAAATGAACAGCTCAGCACCGTCATTTCACGCACCAGGCTCCGATGGCTTGGCCACGTGTTACGCATGTCAGCCCACCGACTCCCGCGACGTGCGTTGTTTGCTCACCTGGGGTGTGGATGGAAGAAGAGGATGGATGGCCAAGCGATGACTTGGTCAAGGGGAATGAAGGCCCTCACTTCGGAGCTGGCCTCGGTTGGAGCGTCACGGCTCCCTGGTTGGGGTCCAAAAGACGGTGAACACGTTTGGCTGGATACACTTGTTGACATGGCAAGGAGCCGACCTCAGTGGCGTTCCTGCTGTGAGTTCCTTTGTCCCTCCCCATCCCTTTTAGCCTCCCCCTCCATCTACGATCTCATTTAGTAGCGTAAAACATAATAATTTTTCTTTTTGCCTAGTAGCCGGCTGGTAGCTTACCGGAACGATGCCTATCCGTTGCTGGTAGCTCAGCTGGCATGCAACTGTTGTATTTATTTTCCTTTTCCTTTACGTATTGCGGCACAGTAGCTGAGGTGTTTCCCACCTCTAGCTGACGTGTATAATGATGATAATGATGATGATGATGAGCGACCGTATAAAACACTGCCGCCCACAAAAATCTCCAGGTGGACAAAAATGGAGGAAAAGGAATTCATTAAAGAATGGCTATCACGGGTTTCGAAGCGCAAATCAAAATGGAGTGATGCTGCGGTGTATACATAGAAAAAGCGGGGAGTGCTAGCGATAGTCAGTGAAACAGTGTGGAGTTCGAAGTGAAAGATCCGAATCACACACCTCAGCGATCAGATTGAAACCAGATTTCAAACCAGACGGCATGCTGTGGAAGATAGATGAAAATAGTCATCGTAGCCGGCTGTCTTTAGAACGAAAGGGGTTTGCACCAAGCGCACGTCCGTGGGTGTGCCACAGAATTTCGTGTAAGGGATAGGTTGATATCCTGCCAGATGCTGTCGAAGGGCAGAAAATTACATGAAGCACCTGTTGGTGGATTTGCAAAACCGGCCTAACACAAGTCGCGCATAACATTAGCTTTATGGTAAGACTACAACAACGAAGGAAAATCGTCCCCGGTTGAACCATGGATAAAAGTAATGACGACGTACGTGGTGGGTGAAGCGGTCGTTTGGAATCGGGCTGGCGTTCCACCACTAGACTCACGCTACCGGTAGCGTTCTAGAGAGGAGAGAAATTACACAGTGTTCGTGAATGGAAACAACAGCCAGAAAGTGAAAAAGGGGAAACATAAATGAGCGAACTTACCTTGAGCATGGATACAACTTCTTGGGTTTGAGCCAGACGGACATCGACGCCGTTGACTTCAACCAGAACGTCTCTCGGCTGGAATTGTCCGCAATGTTCGGCTGGCGTGCCTTCCAGCTGAAAAATTTATGTAGCAACAACAAATGCAGTGATCAAACAGCGAACAGAAAAAGGTATACAAAGTTAAGCAGAATGGAAATGGCATAGTAAGTGCATCCAGATTACGAACGTACCACTGAGCCAATCGCCGTGCCTGGTCCGTATGGTGATCGGCTGATGAGAGACAAACCGAGACTCTGTCCCGGTGCACGGTCCAACACACATCGGACGAGTTCGGGCTCCGCCGATTTGTCGGGGAAAGAGGGTGGATCGCGATAGACAAGTAGGCGAATGTTATCACGAGCGGACTGTATAAGCTGTTAGGGGTGGCAAAATTGAGGCGTACAAGACATTATCTTCAGACAATTTGGATGCACCTACAAAGTAAAGAAAAGCTCGAGAAGGGGCTGAACAACTTACATGCTTAGCGATGATATGGTCAGCTCCCCGCAGATCGACGTCGTTGATGGCCCACAACCGATCCCCGACATGAAGGCGCCCGTCGGCTGCAGCCACTCCATCCTCACGGATGGAGTGGACGAGGATATCCCCCTAAGGCACAGCAAGTGAGATAGGTGGTTACGAATAGGGAAACAGATGTTTGGCAGCAAAGTACCTCATATTAGGGGAAACGAGGTCAGAATTAGGAAACTCACTTGATTAAAAAGTGAACAAGGATGTTTAACTAGTTTGGATTGATGACTTCGAAATGACAACGCGCGAAGGTTGGTTCGAACATTCACATGACATTTCCCTCCCAAAGGTGAAGATAATAACCAGAAATCGACTAAGACCACATGCGGACGATAAAATGGTATCCAGCAGACAGACGACATGAAATGGACTAGCTTGATCGTCGAACGTGGCGTATGGGATCAGAGCGGAGGTGATGAAACACACACTGCGAAGTGATTTCATGAAATGACAACACTCACAAGTAAAGTGTCTTTTCCACCAACTATGGAAAAGCCCAGAGAGCTACCCGCTCCACGGACTAACTCGATCAATGTTGCTTGTCCGGGAATGATTGGATTGTTTGGAAGCGGTGGCAGAAGTGCCGTAGGTGGGCCGGGGGGTGGTGCCGGTGAAGACGTGGCCACGGGTTGGGCCGCGGCGGCGGGGGGCATAGGTGTCCTACGGCGTGCAACCGTCAGGCGAACTTGACTCGCAGATTGTTTCATCAATTGCAAAGTGGCGTCATAATCTTGCTGAATCTCTCCGTTGACAGCCAAAATCCGATCGAACGGACGCAAGGCACCTTGCTTAAAGTGTAGAAAAAGAAGTAGCTCGATGAGAGGTCGCAGGTCAACAAAACCGAGGACGCTCAAGAATTTAAACCACCGTAACATCCACTGCACACAAGCACCATTTCGTTTCGACTCAGAAATTCAAGGTGATAATTCTGACTTCATAAGAATGGTGTGTAAGGAAGTCAGAAACAGTTCAAGGCAAACCGGTAGTAGTGAAATTATGCAGTCTTTAAGAACCCCGTAAGTAATGTGAACATAGACCAAAATCGAGCACAAAGGGATGAACGAGATGTTTGTCCCTTGCAAACGGAATTAAGCCCTTTCCTGCTGGTGTCTTTTAGAGACAATTTTTTAAAATGTGATATAAGGTTGTGAACTAACGCAGTATTTATACCTTTTGTGACTAAAGTTTCAGAAAAAACACTAATCTATATTATGTTGAAGTCATTTTATCCTATCCATGTTTGCTATAATTAGTTTAATTCTTAAATCACATTTTAAGACGTGTTCCTTAAAAAGGGCGCCAGCAGAAAATGGGTTAAGCCAAGGGCAATCAGTGTCCTGCTTAGTTTATTAATCGGTAGATTGAGGTAGCATGATGAATCTTCCGGATGGATCACCATTTCATACTTGCCGGCCGTTAGTGGCCCCAAGGGCAAGAGCCTGAAGATGATGTCAGTGTTGACTGTTGAATCAGCCGGCGCTTCCAAGTATGTTTAAAGGCGCCGCTGCAATCGCTGCAATCTCACGATGTTGACTGTACGATGACAATCATCTTGGATAGCACAGCGACCGCGAAGTATCGAGCGCTCAACAAGTCAATTGATACATAAAACCACCTGAAGTGAGTAATGAGGATTACAGGAACATAAGCAGCGCTGAGTGATGTCGAAAGGTGGTGCGCGGATGGAGTTGCGAATCAAAGTATGTTGTCTTCTTCGGCACAGACACAGAGAACTGTAACCTCAAATACACACAGAGACAAAGTCATTACAACTATGCTAAGGCGCCGCACAACCAAGGGTTACTGCGTAGTCTGGCGTGATTACCAAGTGACCACAAGATGATCATGGCCAACCTAGAGCTGCAGTTTTTGTTCTATCGTCTGCTGGAGCCATCTTACAATTACTTGAAGACTGATTGTCATGGCTGCACTTGAGCCGCTAGTCAAGTAGACTGGTCGGTGCCGCAGGTGTAACATCGCTGTGCATCGTTATCATCATCATGGTACGTTAGCTAAACGTGAGAAAGGCCTGTTATTGTCGTAATCATCATCATCATCATCAGCATTATACATGTCAGCTAGAGATGGTAAAACACCTCCGCTATTGTACCGCAATACATAAAGGAAATACATACATACATAAAATACATAAAGGAAAAATAAATACGACAGTTGAATGCCAGCTGAGCTACCAGCAACGGATACGCATCGTTCCGGTAAGCTACTAGCCGGCTACTAGGCAAAAACAAAAATTTATTTACGTTCTACCGTACGAAATAAGATCGTAGATGGAGGGGGAGGCTAAAGGGATGGGGAGGGACAAAGAAACTCACAGCACAAACGCCACTGAGATCGGCTCCTTGCCATGTCAACAAGTGTATCCAGCCAAACGTGTTCACCGTCTTTTGGACCCCAACTAGGGAGCCGTGAAGCTCCAACTGAGGCCAGCTCCGAAGTGAGGGCCTAAATTCCTCTGGACCAAGTCATCGCTTGGCCACCTTTCCTCTTCTTCCACCCACATCCCCGGTGAGCAAACAACGCACGTCGCGGGAGTCGGTGGGCTGGCATGCGCAACACGTGGCCCAGCCATCGGAGGCTGGTGAGTGAAATGACGGTGCTGAGCGGTTCATTCCCTTTCCTAGGCCGTAAACAAGGCGTCGAACACGCTCGTTACTCACGCGGTGTTCCCACCAGATGTGAGCCAAACTGCGAAGGCACCGATGGTCAAACGTAAGTAGCCTCTTCATGTCCGCCGATCTTAGGGGGCCAGGTTTCGCAACCGTACAGTAAGGTCGAACGTACCGCTGCATTGTACACTCTACCCTTCAGGGCGAGAGTAATGTCGCGCCGTCGCCATAGGTGGCGAAGGTTAGCAAAAGCACTTCGAGCTTTCGCTATGCGGTTCGTGATCTCGTCTTCGATCCCAAGGGCGCTGATACAACTTTCCAGGTAATTGAATTTCTGAACGACTTCTAGCTGATCCCCACCAAGGGTCAGCACAGGGGGCGAACCCTGCCAATCCTGGAGGAACGCTTTGCACTTCGGTGGTGCAAAGCAAAGCCCGAAGCGACTGACAGCCAGTGCAAATCTGTCCAGCGCGGCTTGACACGTCTGAGAGCTGTCACAGATGAGGGCAATGTCGTCTGCATACTCTAAGTCAAGAAGTCGTTCTCCTGGGAGTAGCTCCACACCTTCCAAGTCATGTCCTGTAAATGCAATCTCCATGACTTTGTCAATAGCGAAGTTAAATAGGAAAGGTGACAGCGGGCGTCCTTGTCTCACACCGCTGGAGATATTGAAGGGTGGCGACAGCTTGCTGTAAGCCTTTACTCTGCCCGTGCTACGCGCATATAATGCTTGGATAATATTTACATATTTCTCGGGCACACGTTTCCTGAGTAGACAATTCCAAAGGGCACATCGATCAACCGAATCGAAGGCACCTTTGATGTCGAGGAACACGACTACGGTGGGCCGCCAATATGTGTGACGGTGCCCCAACAACTGACGCAAGGTGAAGATGTGGTCGATGCAGCCACGACCCCGACGAAACCCGGCTTGCTCCTCACGAATCTGGCTTTCACGAGCGCCAGTCAGTCTGTGGAGAATTATGGACGCGAGTAATTTGGAGGCGATGGAGATCAGACTGATTCCTCTATGGTTGCCGCATTCCTAGCGCGAGCCGCCTTTGAAGATGGGAACAATAACGGAGCGGCTCCAGTCGGTTGGGACAGTTTCCTGCTCCCACAGTTTCACTAGTAATTCATGCAAAGCATCAACAAGAGCAGAGCCTCCAAATTTGAAGAGGGCTGGAGGAAGATCATCTGGTCCCGCGGCTTTGTTCAACTTCAACAGTCCAATCTCACGTTCAAATTCTGAGCGAGAGGGTGGATCCAAAGGGACAGCCCACGGAGCGGGGCGATCAGTGACCGGCGAATCGAACAATTCTTGCCGATTAAATTGCTTTTCAAAATGCTCAGCCCAACACTCCAGACGTTTTGACAAGTTGTGGATAGGCTGTCCACTCTCGTCACGTATAGTTTCACTAACACCAGGTCTCCTGCTGCCCGTTTCCTGTATCAGACGGAATAACTTACGATGGTTGCCAAGGGCAGCGGCCACTTCCATCTCTGACGCACGATGAGACCACCAAGATTCGCGGTCTCTCTTCAGGCTAGCACGGAGTTTTGCCCGGAGCTCTTTGCGAGTTTCATTGCGCTCGCTTCCAGCCGGGATTTGCCGGCGAGCATCTATAAATTCCAGAGACTGCGAAGAGACCCAATGTCCATGTTGTCTATTAGACATACCACATGAGGATTTGCCTGCTGCTAGTAAGGTCTGGCGAACAAGTGACCAGTGACCATCAATTGTCTCCTGTGAGCGCTTGCTCAACTCGCATGTTAGCGTACTTCGATACGCATTCAGAACAGCTGGTTTTGTCAGTTGGCTGGTGTCAATACGCTCACAGCGTCGTCGTGGGCGTCCGCCAAAACGCATCCGCATGTCAGCACATACAAGTGCACGATCGGTGTCCACACATGTGCTCCAAATCGAGCGACAATTCTGGATGCAGCCTCTCCAGCGGTAACTTATCGCAATGTGATCGATCTGCGTGCAAGGCTGGTTCGAGGTTGGTGAGCGCCAAGTCACCCTTCGGCGGGTGCTGTGTCGGAAATTAGTGCTCGCAAGAAATAAGCGAGCATCTTCACACAAATGAAGTAACCGCTCACCGTTATCATTACGGGAGTCTACACCGTGTTGACCGCCCAGATGCAGTTCATCAGTGGACAACTTTCCAACTTGTGCGTTCATATCCCCCTCCAGCACAACAGTGTCCGTGCTTCTTCTGTGGCGAAGGAGCTGGGTCAGTTGGCGGTAGAAGTCATTCTTTACCGAATCATCGCTACAGTTTGTGGGCGCATAGGCAGCGATGATGAATAGACATCTATTAGTCCCGCGCGACTTCGAAGCTTTAAACGAGCCAGCCAATCGGACCGCACACATCCGGCTACTGATTGGAATCCAATCAACCAGAGCAGCTTCAGCCCGGGGACTCAGGGCAATACCAACACCGGCTTGGCCGGTGCTCGAAGCTGCATCGTCACCGGATAGGCGCAAGGAGAAAATACTGCTTGCGTCCCCTGAAGGGGATCGCAGAGTGAGCACAGTGCTCGAGTCTTGCAGGCGGGTCTCTGATAAGCAGCAGATATCGATCGAGAGGGTCTCCAATGTTCGGGCAAGTGCTACCTGTTGACCGATTTGTAGCAGTGTGCGTACATTGAGGCATGCCAATCTGAAGGAGGATCGAGGGCTCCAAATGGAAGCCGATGAACTGGATTGGACCGCATGGTTGGACATGGGCTTGTCGACAGGGCAGGAATGACGCTCCGCGTTCACGTGTGAGTTGAAATTAGAAGGTAAATGTCTAGCAAAGCATGTTGGGGGAGGGCCAAGAATCGGGGGGTTGAAAACTGGGGGGATATAAGTGAAGTTGGAATGGGACGGTAAGAGTGAAAAAGCGTAAGAGGGGGGAATAAGAAGACGGGAAGGCTTGAGCAGTAGCATCCAAACCCCTATCCACCCTGCTCGATGCAGCAGATAGGGCACCGTTTATTATCCTCTGCGGTGGCCAGAGCATCAAGAAATTGTTTGAAGGAAAATTCATAGTATTGAGTGGGCAGGATACTGTCAGGTTGCCCAGGCCTAGACAGGAGAACGATTAGGGTTCTCAACCAAAGCCTTTGGTTCAAAAACCTGACCGCAAGGCAGCGGGTTTGGCGTTGGGCTACAAGGAGTCCATTTTAAGGAATAAGGTGCCACCCTCATTCCAACCCCCAACCTGGAGGACCAGGAGGCTGAGTTTGTCTGGCCTCTAACCATTGACCAATCTGGTATGAGTGACTCTGAAGGTGCAAAAGCACCACCCAGCGTAGCTCAATGGATCGCTGAGGCACACAAACCATCGCACCACGGTAAGGTCCAGCCTCATTGCGATGGTACTGTCGCAATACAAAAATGAGAAGAAGAACGAAAATGTGGAATATTAAACACCATAGATTACAAGATACAAACAGGCAATATTATACTTAGTATCATATTGTGCATCGAGTGTGAGATTGTGGCTAGAGGGGAAGTCTAGACGGTAAAGGGAAAGAGAAACTCAACAAAAACGACATTAAGGTCGACTCCCGGCATATCATGAAGTGCTTCAAATCAAATGTGTTCATCATCTTTCGGATCACAACACACTTGTCGAGAACAATCATTTACCTTGACTAAGTCATCGCTTGGACTCCCGGCCTCTACTTCCAGACCCCCGTCGTGCAAACGACGCACGTCCCGCAGACCGGTGTGATGGCATGTGTAACACGTTGTCCAGCCATCGGAGCCTAATGCGTTAAATTACGGTGACGAGCGGACCATTTGTTCTTTCTGCGCTAAATACAGGACAACGAACACGCTCATTGCTCACGCGGCGTCAGCATCAGACGAGAGCCACACTACGAAGGCACCGGTGGTCGAACATAACAAGCTTCCTTTTGTCTGTCGCATCACCAACTTGCTGCTGACAAGGCATAAACGGTTGCAGACAGTGAACTGAATGAAGTCTGTCGAGGTGATCTACATCGACTTCTGTAAAGTGTTGGACAAGGCGAGCCAGAAGGTACTCCTACACAAGATGAGGAAGTGCAGGGTTGTTGGTTCACTGAATCAGTAGGCTAGCAATTTCCCTATTGGGCGAAGACGGATGATCATCTGACCGACTGACATCCCTCCAACAGTGGGGTATTCCAAGGCACAGTACTGAAGTCCACTATGTTCTTGATTCACATCAACGTAGTACCTCAGCTTCTTCGGTCGCCTTGCGTCTTGTTTGTAGATGACCTGAAAGTTGGAGAGTAGTTGATTCTCCAGACGACTGCGACCTTCTTCGGCAGCACTTCGACCGCCTGTCCATATGGTTTGCAGATGTCAATCTGTCAGTCAACCTATTCAAATCGTTGTTTATTACCCTCGAAAAGGGTGGTGACAGGCATACGTAAACTCTGACCGACCAACGGCTGTATCAACCACCCTCCGGGAAGGATTTCAGCGTACACCCACCTTGCGATTTGAGAGCCGTGCTAACGGGAACAGACTCTAAGGAAACTGACTGCACATGTTAAGGGAACTCAAACACAGTTTGCTCTGAATACATTGTGACTCAATCATAAGACCAATGCTAGAGTTCGGTTCACCCGCCCATTGTCTAATCACTGGTGAAAAGGTTCAGAAACTGGAATTGGCACACCGTGAAGCTACAAAGTTCATCCCCAATTTAGGCAGTATCTCATACGAAGACCGATGCGGACGACTAAGGCTGTAAACCCTGTCGTGTCCTCGGTTTCGAGTTGACTTCATAATGACCTACTGGACAAGACATTTGAGTGACTTCCCCATGCTAAGACCCCTGCTACACATGCGCGCACCAAGCAGCACTCACGGCACGAGCTTGTGGTAGCGAAGCTGAAGCGAATACCTTACTTTCTATGCTTCGAGTGTCGAGAGGTGGAATATTGAAAGTTTGCTCGAGACAATAGTCGAAATCGGTGTCGGATTTCAAGAAATTCCTGAACAAATCCAGAAAATGAAACAAAGGTGGCAAGTGGAATGTGAACAATTGTTTTCGGTTACTTCATCGTTAGGCTTATACAGGAATAAACATGGTAGTTATGCTGACTATCGATCGGTAGAGAGCGCATCATATCTAAATATGACGTTGCAGGACTGTAATAGCAGAAATGTACAGCAATAAAGGGGACTATTACTTGTGTGTGCCTGATCATAATTATAAAGAGAAACACAGATATACCATCTCCTCGCTCAGTATTATGTATATAGGGTGCCAATTGATTGATGCAGGCGCAACAATCAGGATCACAAAAGTTGTGCATAGCCCCGATGCAGTTGTGTTTTCTCAGCTCCGAAGGATGCTGCAAGATGGCGGGACCGCGGGGGTGTGCATGATCAAGAATCGGTTCATAAGATCTTTTTAAAACACTGCAATAAGGTTGTTGAGAGCTACGACGGTGTCTGATGCAACAGCTCGAACAAATGGCATCCTGGCCAGTAAAATCATCTAAGCAGTGTAACCAGTCCACGCAAACAGGTTTGAACAACGCAACAATATTAGCCGTAATACTAAAACAGAAGGCAGACACAAGAAGAGATGTGAACGTTGCTTCAGTTGTGACTCACCATAGCAGCGGCTCCGTCTGGAGGTAATTCGGAGACAAAAATACCAGGAGTGTCGTTTGGACCGTAGTTGACGATGAAAATGCCGTAACCGTTTTCGTTCTAACCACAAGAGTAGAGGAAAAGTATGAATGGAATATGGTGTAATGAGGATCGTGTGACGTGGACAAACTCCCTACCGGCACTAAAGAGGGAAACAAGATGCAATGCCAGCGGCCAGCTCTCGGCAATTAGTACAGCTGGTAAGATACGAAGTGAAGTTGGTGGTCGAAAAGTTGCCTAGTTTGTAGTGCAGACGGTCGTCTAGTTGCGATGAAAAACGTGAATGGCTATGGGGCACAGAATGTAACAGTTTTCTCACAATGGTTGATGTCACAGGGGGCCAATAGCAAGCACCCAATACAAAAATGCGACAGAAATTGAGTAGGAGCATCGAGCTCGCGAGTGGCGGGAATTTGAAATCAGCTTATATGTTCCTGATCCACCACTATATACCACAAAGCCACTTCGTAGTTGTAATTTTCCTGGTATACATTAAAGCAGCAGGTTGTATCAGGCTCTTTCTACTACGTTATCACGTGCTATAGGTCCACTGACCGGCTGAGATAATGGAATACAGGAAAGGGAATCAAATGGGATGCACTCGCTGGTTTTACTGTGGCCCTAACAATGTCTCCATAGTCATCTTCATTTTCATTAAGCACTTGGTTTCCCTTTGCTTGGTTGAGGAGAGGAAGACTCCAACACCAATTCCAATCGCGCTCGGATTCCTGATGTTCACGACCCGCATATTTGACAGTCTGGACATGGACAACCTTATGGAGGACGTGCCCAAGAGTTGAGGTGGAGCTACGCTTCGAAGAGAGGGCACTTGTAAAAAAGGGTAGGTGCGGGATCCGAGGTAACAAAAAGTTATCCACACAGGATGCAAGTGAGAGATGGTTATGGATTATGTGCGATCGATTTTATCCTGAGGAAACAGAGGCTAGAGGATGTACCAAATGAGGGACTAGTGGTCGGCAAGCAGAGCAATGTCGGGAAGAACCATTGTAAGCAATAAATAAAGAAAGTTGGAAAGAAACAATATCCATTGAGGCGTTGAAGCCAAATCGCCCGAGTCGACGTGGGAGCGAGAAGATAAAGGATGTACGAAAGGTGGAAAGCTGCAAATGGTGGGTGGGGGTAGATGCTACTTAAATAAAATCGAATATGGAATACGGTGATCGCTCCATAACAAACGGTAGTAAAAAGAATAATTGCAGTTGGATTAATTGCACATCGTAAGGCATAACGTAAAGTGTGCAAATGTACGCATAACAAATATTGAACATAGATGCTGGAACTCGTCTACTCCCGAGATTCCCATAATATACAACTATCTAGGGAATCAGAGAAACGCAACCTCCTGGCATCAACAGGCAGGTAGGCGCAACACAGCAGTGAGGTGGCCCACCCACTATAAGTGAACAAAGTCCGTAATGGAAAGAACAGCGGTTACAAAGCGACATGTTGTTCACTATTTATGAAAGCCTCTGAAATGCGGTGGGGCTCATTAAAACTGACACACGCACGGTTACGCGTTGGTATTCGGACGGATTTGTCTAAAGAATGATTCGCATCCGCATCAGTAGTGACTGGACAGCTGGGTAAATTCAGCTGAGGGGGGACACGGACCAAGCTTCATCCGAGGTACATGAATGCGATCCTTCCCTACCACATCGCAATGCTACACCGTCGCAGATTGGCAGCAGGCTAAATCCTGACCAACTGACATCTTGTTACCATCGAGCGAGAATGGGCTGGATAGGGTGCGATAATTTGTGTGTCTACGTCACCCGTTGAGTCACGCTGGGTAGCACCTTCCAAATGTCGTCATACCCATTGATACCAAATAAGTAATCAGCTAAAGTCAATGTCAACTTGGAGGTGTTTCGGTGTTTCTCCCCCCAAACACTGACATCCGATGACTGGCTTTGTTCTCGTTCGGATTCATCAGGTGGAGATAGCCTAAGCTGGGGTGGAATTCGTGGCCTAGTGGTTAAAGGCTAACGCCTTGATCACTACACCACTAAGATCCGTGAAGAGTCAATTTCTTCGTCAACAGAAATCGGGAGAGATCAATTAATCCCTGCTCTCAAAACTCGCCTATGCGGATCGTTTAAGCATCAAGCTAGCTATGGAAACGAAAACTGATAGCTCAGATTGTTCAGTTGGGAATCGAACTGTTAATCGACCTTAGTACTTTTGTCGCAAACGTTCCATCCCCAGTCCAGATAACATCACCTCGAACTGGTGATGAAGCTGTAACACATTGCCAAGCTCAGCGAACAGTTCGACAGTCATAAAATTCAAGTTTAGCTGGATTGGTGCAAAACAGACCCGCCAAGAGTTACTTCGCAAACAGGTGTACAACCTTATTGCGCACTGATCATGCTGAAGTCGGCCTCAAGCAAGCTCACAAACAGGTGGCCGCGATAGACCACAACTGAAAAGGTATTATGTGATACGGTCAGAAGCATGTGATAGCTAGTTCGGTCAAAACAAGTGGTCTAAACCAGAGATCAGTGGGATCCGTAGGTAAATGTCGCAGATAGAGTTGCTTTCCACTGCCTTTGTGGGACTGTACATTGAGTCACCTTGAGTGGAGACCTGAGGGAAACGGTTGCTTAGTTAACCGCTTTAAGGGAGCATGCGTCTCAACAACAGACAAAATGCGCCGAGTTCCACTCCTAAATCAGGCTGGTGAGTCCAAACAAGGAGGAAACGCATCGTGGAATGCAGCGATGGGAATGAGCATCACTGAAACTCTTCAAAACGGCGAACCTTTTCGAAGTAAATACTGCATGAGAGTGTTTGTCCAGAGAACCTTGTCACACATTTAATTCAACTCCATGTTTCTTCCGTTCACCGTCCTTCCTTTTTTCAAACAACCGGTAAGAAAGCTACTTATGACTGCGTCAACCACATAAATGATAAAACCGAGTTATCTTTAATATTGTGGACCTCACTTTGTACTGGAGCCATATCAGAGATGCCAAAAAAGAAAAGAGCTCACTTTAATGGCCTTCGTGATGAGGTGCGTTGTGATTCCGGGTTCGTTGAGGTCTACAGTGGCCACTTGGTGACAGCAAACGATAATACAGAAACCGAGCGGAAACCTAATCAGACACATCCCAACCTGGGGACCCATGGATGGAAAAGAGTAGATGTTAGACCAAATTGGCTCAGCTGCGAAGCCAACAGCGTTCATATAAACAGATGGTTGTCTTGCTGTTAACACGGTACTATGGTTTCTTTTTGACGTAATTATACCAAGGTTGTCCGCGTTTTCTTCTATTTTTTGCTTTTTATATTCATAGTGGTTCGATCTATGGTAAGTGGATGAACCTTTGCACACTGGTAATCGCAATAAACCCAGATGGATTCAGATGATTTGTTATATGAGGATAAGGCAGTGGTGTTCTACCCGTCGCTGACTAAACGGCCCATTCTTACATGTTTATGTATATCTGAGTGCGTTGCTTAGCCGGTTTAAAAGATAAGATGTCACTCATCGAAATCTTCCTTAGGTAGGTGTTTCGGATGAAACCAAACGGTTACGTCACGCTTCAAATAGTACAAGTCAATAACGTTCTGCTATCCTTTTTCATCAACCAGCCCCTGCGATCATTTCCGAGGCCATGGCACAGATGCCATGTTAACAGATTCGACTTAAACCAAAATAATTGGAGCTTCAGTAAAGAAAACACTCATGAGCCTTCACAACGCAGGAAAATAGCCTTTGAATACATTTTCATTGTGTATTAGAGGGGATCCCAATCGGCATTTAGTTCATTTATCTCAGCAGGCAATGAGAAGCGATTGTGAAGAATTGATAGCACATTTCACTTCAAAGATTGTAAGTCCAGGAGTGGGTCAGAAACCTCGAAGTGAAACGTTCAGGTGTGGAGAAAAAGATGTACCCTATGGAATCGTGCACTAAGACATGGATTGAGCTGGGTGGATTCTCCACTGCACTGAAGCGCGTCACTTGTGATCGAAGTTAATGCGGTCAACGGTGGACCAGCACGAACTTTCGTTCAGTGGTCGATAAGCGGTGGGGAGATTGGGGCTTGTGTTGGAAGTCAGTGTCGCCGAAGTTAGGTTTATGGATGGCACACGTTTGAGGAAAACGATCGCAATCATTAGTATGTAGATGCATATATCGAGAAGGCACTTGCAAAACAACAAGGCAAACGCACGCGTTTTAGGCTGAGGTTGAAGATTTCGAACAAATCCAGTGGTTCGTTCAACAGTTTGGAAATTTTCTCTAGCATATCTTGGCTGACTGACCCTCCATCAATCTAGTCAGATGAAAGGGGAGAAAGAAAAAGTAAAAAAACAAAACGAAACAAGTGGGCGAGCACCAACGGACAGATGACCAATAGAGAAAACAAACTGGAAGCCATGCGGTTCGCTTACCGCGTCTAACGGAGAATTCTCTCCCACATGGTTTGATAATGGTTGTGGAGTTCCCCAATCCCATTCAGCGGGAGTGCGCTCTTGCACGGTTGGGATCGCCATTTGTTGCAGATTGATAGGATTGCGTCGAACAACCAGAGAAATAGTGCGCACATCGGTGGGAGCGGTGTCTGCGCTAGTCTTCTCAAGAAGCAGACGATGGATAAACTGTCGCACAGCCAGATGACCCCATCGCCGAACATCTTTTCGCTCGACCTGCAAGGGAAGTATGGTATACACATTAATGGAGCAAGAGTTTAGGGCAAATAAGTAATGCGGCAGCCGCAAACTCTATGTTGGAACTCTAACAAGGCCATTAGTCCATAAAATTCGCTAAAATGGTGCACTTCGATACCATTCGAGTGGTTGCTGAAGAAACCAGTAAAAATGAAATCACTACATGATAGAACAATGTAGTGCATTGGATTGTAACAGCATCGACAAAACGAGTAATATGTGAGTCTAAGGAACAAATTGGTCTAAACTCCATGTAGCTTCGTCTTTAACACGTGAGGAGTAATAGTTCCAACGGATAACGGAATAGCCTAGCTCAGAACTCAAGGATGGTTCGGGCTGGGTCCACTTGTGACAGTGACCTGATTAATGAGCACTCTGATATGTGGGCCAAAACGCTGTCGTAAACAGGTAAGCTGAGAACGGAAGAAACTTACTCTGATCCGGATGAATGTAGACAACCACCACATTCACACGTGATTTAAAGTGAATTAAGGCCAGTGGTGGTTAGAAGGGGCTGAGAAGTGTGGCACTATTTGAGACATTTAGAACAACTTGCACTTTTGTGACGTGAGGCCAGTGGACCGCAGTGCATCGCAGTGACGGAGGTGGCAACGGTGGATCGAAAATAGGCAGAGAAAAATGCAAACACTCGCTGAGCATTGAAAATCCGATTGTGTTAAAAGCGGAGAAATAATTGATCCAAAAAGTCCGGCAGAGAAGCAAAGAACGGTTGCATGACACTAGCATTAAAGTAAAATAATATTACCACACGACTTAACAGTACATACAGGGTCGAGGATGCGCCGGAATAAAGAAAGAAATAAGAAACAGTCTCTGGGAGTCGGAAAAGATGATAAGCACGGAATGTGCAAGAAGAGAGTTGGAGCCATAACAGCGTAAACAGACAGACAACTGATATCCAATTCGCACATCAAACATTGCACATTGGTACGGTGCAGTCACACCAGTGCTTATCGAACTGTCTTGGAGAACACGCTACAACTGTACCGGTGAACGAGATCAGCGCACAAGTGAACCTACACCAGTGGTAAAGAAACCCGACAATCGACGGTCACATTGCGTGAGGCATGTAATTGAAAAGATATACATGGTTCCGGTGAGCATAGTGCCGTCGCCATACACCGTGGTAAATGTAGCACGAAAAAACTGAATTGGTGACGAGTTTTCCAAGAAGGATTCAAGCGTCAGTCTATGTGTAACTCAAAACATTCAAATGCCGATTCGGTTACCAGGTGAAGTATCATCAGTCCTGAGAGAGAATCGGTTAACTGGGCGCCGTTCCGTCGAACTATCAAACATTCGCCTCTCAAACAGTTAATACAATCGCTATGATAAGAAGTCCAAAGTCCAGCAGCGCAAATCCCATTATTTCCCCTCGCCGCGCGTCCGTCAGTGTGAGAACACCTAGAAAATAGAGGAAAACATTGTTACGTCGAACCGAAGCTTCTACAATTAGTTTTGACGTGTGATTAGAGCACGAGGCGCAGCTATATGACGGGGCAAAATGCAGTCCAGATCGACACTAATAAAGCACTTCGGTCTTTATGGTACTGGCTATATGTCGGGTGGTGCGGACGATTCGCGAACTTAAGCCATAACGCCAAGTGCAGGTGGACGCCGCAGCTCCTGTAGACAAGTTATGTCGATAGGGCGCGAGACACAGTGGACTGCTTTAGTGGTAAAGGTTCGTAATCGTTGCTGATTGCACCTAAGTGCAAAATAGTCCAGGTTAAAAAAGGAGGCCGAGCAGCCGAAATGAACCAGCGCCTATGATGAACAAAGGTTTAGCTTAAAACAACGCGGGTTCTAGCTCGTGACCCCTTCCATTCTTCGTATTGATGACTCCGAGCACGCCAGTAATTATCAGTTACGGCGCCGAGAAGAGGTAGTGTTGCGTCCCATCCAAAAGCTGTGTTTACCAGCCGGAGTGCTAACCGTAGCTTCTGAGTCAAAGCGCAAATCTGCCGGTTGTTTCCAGATAGTTAACGCAGGGCACATTTCGTCTACTTCTTTGGTACCCCATGTATTGGTGGGGATACATAGGATATCCGGTGGGTCATCGCGGACTTGCCGAGTTGACCACAGTAGCTGGTGCTTTCGTTCCGAGCGATATTCCTCTAAGCAACTGTAAGCTCTTGCCCAGAAGGTACAAGTTTCCTTCGATGGCAACAGAAGTGACGGATTCGTTCGTGTGCTAAGACAAGTTATGTGGCTCGGAGTCCTTAGGTCGGGACAACGCGCAATCAGTATGTTAGAGCCCATTTGGTGAAAGAGGTACGTTGATGGTTTTACACTACTGTGAATGTTCACGCATTGCGGCAAAGAACTAATTCTCTTGTTACAGGAGTCCTAGGGGCATGTTCTTGTTACCGATGACCAGCGCAACTCTCATCATTCTAATGGGCACTCGTAAAGGCTGCATCAAATCGAAAGACGTTTCAGTAGGCTACCACAGGCCTCAGAAGGCACCAACAAAAATAGGTATTGTTGATTACATCTGTTCGATACATCTTTTCCGAATCACTAAGCATAGGTAAAGCTATCCACACTAGCTGTCAAATGTGCCTGTTTCCAATATGTCTCATGTTTCGTTACCAATAGCATACCGGAACAGCGCCAACGGATCAAACATGATCTGGCTGCTCGTCAGTTTTAGGACAGTGAATTCTTTCATTTTCAAACAAGGCAAGATCGCTAGTTGCCGTACAGAAAACATATCAATGCCCCTTCTCTCTGTCACCACAATGGATATAGGTACAAAATCAGAACATGTGCCGAGGTAAGCAAAACGTTTTCATCACAGAATGACCCGTTATTCATATCACGTGCTGTTTTACTGTCCATAGGACCTGTAATCTATCTTTCCACGTATTGGGCTATATTCCATTGATCGGATGGTGCTTGGCCACTGCTGTCGTATGATGACAGCGCAGTTCTTCGTGTTCCAGACGTGGCTAAATGAATCTGATCAAATCCTGTCCGGTGCAATCGTCCGCTGGCGAACCAACGGGGAGCAACCGCCTGCATCATAAGGAAAGTGAGGATGACAACTGGCTGATTGTGTTCTTGTCGACTCTGCACGCCCGTCCTCTCTGGTCACCTGTCCACAATCGCATAAAGCCTGAGAGATGACTTGTTAAGTGCAGGTGGGCCAGGTATATCAAGCAGTGATATGCAAAGTCAGTGGATTTTTGTGCCTGCATCCCACAGACGGCTACATTACCTGTTGAGTAGTCCCGTCGAATATGTAATGTGTTTCGTAGGTGCCCGTCAAGTAGGGACCGCAAGGCGCGGCCATCATGTCACTAGTCCATACAATATAACAGTGCGTGTTGGGATGTTTAAAACTCCGTCTGTGAATGGTGCACTATCCCGTCGTCTTCTTGAGTGTTGCGGATTTGAGGATCAACAACATTCATTAAGACACAAGGTAACACTTTGGACAACTTGAATAATAGTGAAAATAGATTCCTCACCACCATACGAGCAAATCACTGTGAGCCACGGCCGGAGAACATAGGATGTGAAAAAAATTGCGGAACTTGGAATACAACGGATGGCGCGTCTAGCCAACGCCCCATGTGTAACGTGAATGTCCGATAAATGGTGAAACGGTTGTCACATTTGTCATGACAAGTGGTGGCGATGGTGGTGGTGGTGAAAACGGACCACAGACAGTTGCACTGCTTGTTTTCCAGGCTTCACAACAGGTGAAGCACGTAGAAACATGAGAAACGTGGAGTGCGCATCACTGTCTGCACGCGGCCTCATCAACAAACGGATAAGGGCCTGCTGAAGTTTTTCGAAGCGAAATCAGTCTGAACAAAACGCCTCGCAGTTGACAACAGCCGTAACTACTGGCGCGTCTACGGCACAGCAGCTTATCAGTATGTATGTATTTATTAACTCAGATATTTAATTTTTCCGCGAAACCATTTGTATAGGCTACTGAGAATGTGCCTGGCTGCTAATTTTCAGCGAAGCCCGGTTCTTGGCGAAGTCCGACTGAAAACTTGGCTGGTCCAAATGACCTTAAGCCAATTTTTAGGTACAGTGTGGCCATTTCTCTAAGGCAAAGCTTAAAGCAGTGGGGTGAGCAAGAAAAGATTGTTTTGGTGAGGTATCCTAACAAGTAGACCAGATCCTACAAGAGCTAAAGTAAAACTAGGTGCTATGTAGCAGCAGCAGTCTTCTGGTTAAGAGCGATTTCTATCATAGCCATGAATCATGTTTTCTTCTCTTCTTTGTTCGCAGATTGTACAAGAGTGGACACAACGATTGTGGATAGTGAAAGTTACGCGGACGAATGCAAACCCACTGAACATGAAACTTTTCTTGAAATAACTTTTTCCGCTCTTGCTGTTTTCCGTACGGTGGCTGGGTTGTGCCGTGATACAGTTTATTTCCTTGGTTCTGTCTTTTTCGCTTTCGTTCGTGTCGTCGCGTGGCTGTCTCACCGATTGTCCGTCTCCGCTGCGTGTGCTCACAGTCGCTTGCTCATCTCTTTTAACTAAACCGACGCCGCATTGCTCAGGTTACAGTTAACAAGTCAAAACATCAAGGCGATTAAGTAGAAAGTTTCGTTAACACAACAAATACGATGATGTGGATATCGGAGGGCAACAAATGCGAATGAAGGAAATATACCGTAGGATCTCTTAAATATTTAGCATAACTGGCTTTGCGATGGCGGATGATCATGCTGGGAGTGCCCTAGACCAATCATGTGTGCGCAGAACGGTGTACCAAAGGCATAGGAGAGGTTGAAACAAGAAAGACAGATGGATACAAGTGTAAGATAATGGAAAAAGGATAGTAAATATGTTCATAAGGGTAGAATGGAAAATGGGAAACTGTAAAAAGCAACTAAATGAGGAAAATGTGTCGCGGACACCGAGGAAAAGCAGTATTCATTCAGAAACCTGGACATAATATGTAATAGCGGAATACCCACAGTTAACTTGGGTCAACCACATGGCAAAATAAAAACAAAATGATTAGAAGATTGTCTACATGAAGGTTGATGCTGCAATTTCCGTAAATCATTTGATTTAGATAATTTACTAACCTGGACAATCTCATCCCCGACCCGAAGAATGTTCTGATTTGCGGCCAAGGAACCAGGAGTTAGTCCCGCCACATAAGTGGACCGTGACTCAGGAAGGCGACCCATAACCAAACGAATACCGAGGGTTTCCACGCGTGATGATGACGAGACAGTGGCGGACGTCGGGGGGAGGCTGATAGGCACTGTGACAATGCGATCGCCAGGTGGATCAGTGCGAGTGTACAAAGTGACAGGATCGTCTGTAAGATTCACAAAATAAGAAAAGGCGGGAAGATAGTAAAACAAGTAAAGTCGTTAAATGGGTAAAAGTGGTGTATTGAATCGACAACACCGAGTGAAAGCACATGTCCCAACTGACCTGAACACAAATCCCTTACCTTCGACATCAGGAAGATTCAATAGATCTTGGTCGATGGAGAACGGTATTGAACCACTTGAGAAAAGGCGTGGGGGTGGGGTAGGAGGTGATCGCTGTCTGTAATCTACGTTGACAGACGGAGACACATCGTCGTCTAACACGGGGCCGGAAATTAAAGCAAGGTTTGCTGATTCCTCTCCCGAATCCACAACCAGTCCACCATTCATGTGACCCACAGACGCTCGGATTGGACGAGATAAAACATTCAGCTCATCACGAGAATCCAATTCAGACTAAGCGTGGATGGGAGGGATTAGATAGAAGACAGGTCGACTCAGTTCACGCAGAGTATGGTGGCGACTGGTGTAAATACTCGCACACTTGTGCCGCAGCTTAAAGCCACACACGACACTGTGGACCATAGTGCGATCCAATAGCATGGTCAATATGAATTCATGTAACCTTCTTACACACTGTAAAACAACTAAAGCAAAATCAATGTGATAAACTATTGTCTAGGTAATATACGGTCAAACTGTCAAGTCTGAACTTCAGTGCCAGCAATCAGGAGATGAGAATACGAGGTAGAATGGAGTGTGATGCGGTGACGTTCTCGAAAGACAAATGAAAAGCATGTTTCTTAGAGAACGCTCAATGGATAGAGTTAGACTGACTTTAATGGCGATTCATTACAGTAACAGCCACTGCCCACTTGGAAAGGCACTAGACGGTTCGTTCTCTCATGGCTCGTCAGGAAGAGTGGCGCACAGCTAGCTACTTGGTCAATAGGCGTCCGCTGCTCAAGTCAAGCGGCTCTGTTATTAAATACTGACTCTGAAATGAATCCTCACGGGTTGTAGCCTCTCACTGGGAGGATAGAATGTGCCCTACTGAAGAATTTCGGAAGAGTGGAACCATCGTTTGGCAATTTGTCGGCGATACAGTGGTTGTCTAAAGGAGCGAAACTGTGATGAACATGCTTCAAAAATTACTCTAAATCTCACTTTTCACTACCCCCCGGGAAAACAGAAATGGAGGTCGCAAGAAGATGAGTATCGGCGTGCAACCATTCCACATATTAGAGTAAAGCAAAGGCTCAATGTGTCCAACAAAAAACACTGTCATGGTCGGAGCATTACTAAATGAAACCCCCTGGGTGGGAAACACGGAACAGTTTCTAGTGTTCATCTAGCGTAGATCTGGGACTGAGTTTCGAATTCGATCTCTGTACGGTCATCTATCGCAGCATGATCCTGGAATTCCACAGTATGGATGTGAGTAGGGACAGAGTCACTCAAGAAAGGGGATACAAATTGGCGTCACCATCATCAAACGTACCAATGGCTCAGGGGCCTCCAGTTGACTGGAACTGAGGGACGAATCTCCCGTAAGCTTGTCAGCCCGAACACGATCAAAACTGAGCGGGGATGTAGGTCCAGACTGACGAGGGCTTGTTATCTAAAGCCGACAGTATGGACACAAGTGTAATTAGGTCAACGCACGAAATAATTGGGATGCAAGAACAAATTGGACCCCATGAAAGCAGGAATGCAGTTGATTAGTGAGACAATGACTTAAGACAAAGTCATAAAAGAGATGACACTTCCTGAGCATCTGTTGCGCGTGCCAAACGAACCAACTGCAAATGTCACACGGCACCAAAGCTAATTGAGTGGGGGATTTGTGTGACCTATGAGTGAGAGCAGATATATATTCCAACTTGAAATCTGTTTCAACAGCAAGCGGATTCACGTTGCTCGGTCTAGAGAAATAAGTCAACCAAAAACTAACGCATGGGAATCCCGAGAATAGAAACTAACGTATGAATTGTCACTGTGATAGGTCATGGGCTACATGTGATGGGTGAGTAAGGATGTAAAAGCGAGGGACCAGAAGGACCATCTGCTGCAGTGGATGAGTTAAAGGTTAAAAAAAGCAAGGTCACCCACCTGGTGATTTAGGAGAACAGGCTTGGGTCCGGGTTCCACATCAACAACCACTAACTGTCTCTCGGACTTTCCTGGAGCAACAGGGTAGGGAGGCGTTGAAGTACAATACCGAACACCAAGCCTCAGCTGTCGTGCCTCACTCTCAGCCTGCTGTCGGAGTAAGTCGCTAGCTTTTTTCGGGCCCAAGTTACTCACGTCCTGATTATCGATCTACGAAGTGGATATGAGATAGGCGAGAGAACGGGTGAACAGTAAGGAGCGTAAGTGGAGCCGCATGTTCTTTATTAGGATAAATTGCATTAGTGCTCAGGCCAAAGCATGACCGTCGGTGATCATTCTTTAGCCAAACGGCTTTCGGCTAAGGCACTCTACTGAATAATAGTGGGCCTTCATTCGCCACAATGGCCGGGGCGTCGGAGGCATATCATAATTATGTATGAGCGAAAAAGTATTGGCCATTAACCAACGCACAGCATATTGGCAAGTGCCACATCAACTTCACAGTCAGTGCGCCTAAGTGGATAATCAGATGGACACCAATGTCTGATTCAGTCTTTCCAGATGACAGGTTTGCGCGGACGAACAGGTGAGCAGAGGAACAGATTGTGAGAGTGGCAAGGGACAAAGGATCGTGAAGTGAATAGAAGCGGTAGTATGAAAAGTGCATCAACGGATCAACGAATATTTCTACCTGCATCAGAAGCGCCGTTAAGACGTTGCAAAGAGCTTAATAGCTACCGGGTTTGATAAGGTAATTTCTGAAGGATGTGCTGTATCGCTGTGAAAGTTTCAATTTATTTGCAGAAGGTTTAGAGGAAAAATAAACTGCAGAATACAGCTACTCATCAAGAAAAGATAGAGAGCTGAAGCAATAAGTTGCAGTGCGTTGCCAGTACCTTCCGATGGTGTCACCGCAAAGTTTGTCCATGCATGCACCATTCGTCTATTGTTGTTGTGGCACTAGCAGCCTCAGGCCGGTACGGTGTAGGTTGATGTACCGCCAGTCTTGCCCCCGTGGCCCAAAGGGCTAGTCTGCAAAGCCCAAAGAGTGACTCCTGGCAGAACACCAACGGCTGACGAGCGTACACCGGTTTGGTCTCAAATGTATGCTGGCAAAGGTGTTGCGCAGGCTCCGTCGTTCATGGGCGCGCGATTTATGGTACAAAGTAAAGAAGAACATAATCAACGCTCATATAAACACATGCTGTCCGATTCGAGAAGGACTAGCATTGTATCAGCCCCCCCCCCAAAGCATTGGGAGTTCCACATGCTCATCAACAATGTTGCTAGAAAGAACGCCAAAGTACGCATCGATGAGAAGTGCCATAGCGCCAAAACAGGTGCATATTCAACCCTGTCTCTGATGATGGGCTGTATACACTCCAAGATATGAAATGATACGAGGCGTTTAACCCTACCAGACTTCAGGCCCCGAACTTAACTTTCCTCTATACCTGGGCTCCTGAGTATTAAAGAAGCAACATGATGTAGAAAAACGTTAGTTATATGCAGACCGAGAGTGGTCGTATTTTTCATTTGTGACTCACTTTTTCACGTACAAGGTAAAGTACCGAAAATTAAGTACAGCGGTATAGCGGCAGATTCGGAAATTTTAACAGAGCAAGAACAACGAACATTTCTGCGGAATATTCTGAATTCATCATAATTTGTGTATTCTCTTCAGCCGCTTACATACAATGGGTGAAAATTGCAAACGATTGGGAGTAATAGGTCAATACTAGAAATCGATGGTTAATTGCGTTGGCTAGCCGAAAAATTGGTACAGCATTCTGGTAGGGTTAAGAAGGAGGCGATCACCAACTGGCTGTATGAACATGCCAACTGTATAGCAACCGTCTCCGAAATGTATGCATAAACGTGATCGTCGGTGGCTTAGAGAAGAGGTACATTAGATAGAAAGCAAGCCATCTTTTTTGCAGCTAGTCAGAGCACGTAGCTGAAATGAATGAAAAAATGTTCTGCATAAACGGTCCAACAACTGAGGTAGCTACTACCGCGGTTCGACACATGCGAAGTACCCCAAGTGAGTGTGATAAAATTTATCTTGAATCTGGAGTGGCTGTTTATCTTACGGCGGGACAATTTACCGACTAGCAAATTATACCCATAAAAATCAAAGAACACCAGTTTGCGTAGCGTACGTTTCGACAAATCTCTGCAGGCAATTACAATTATACAATGGAATGCTAGAACATGAAGAGCTGGTGAAGCAAAATGGGGAATAGCAGAATCAAAACGGTGAGAAACTCCAAAGTCCCGATCGATAAAGTCGGCTAACCGTTCATATGACAGAGCACGTGTTGGTTGACAGGTGGAATGCCAAGCGCATCATCCGACCACGGTACACGCACAAAGTGATAAAAGTTGGTAAGCCAATTAGGGCCAAGGTAGAAGAAGCCATTGCAGCAAAGCCTTCTGTTGGTATAAGTTACGGTTTTGTTAGCCTAATCCCGATCGCTTCGGACGTCCATAAGATTTGCTTCCTAAGGCCTTTAGGGTATTTGAAGGTACCTGCGGTCCCAATTTGGTGTCCGCTTTTCACTAGATGTGCCAGGATGGAACTGTTGGTGCGACTGACAATGGCATTCCGTAAAGTCACTTAGCAGTACTCCGCTATGCGCTTGGACACACCTTGAATGCGCCCTGGTGTATATGCATACAGGGGTCCGCTGGCATCGACATTGTGTATCTGGTGGGCCTACAAATATGATTGGTTGCATCCGGTTCCGGATTCGACTGTCACTGCGGCCTCCACAGGACGCCTGCACCTACAGAGGAACCATGGGTGGCTTGGGCTGAAGCATCCACAGCTCCATCCACACACCCGATGTCCAGTGTAAACCTGAAGGAATAAGACCGGGAGGCATGTGGATGGGAACCACGTTTTATCAACGGAGCCGGCTCACACTCGTTCAACATGCATAGCAGAAGCATTCATGCCTAAGCTGGAAGCCATGCGTATCAGACTTACACACGGCGGTGGCTTGGCCGTGGCTCGTTCCACAATGGATGAAGGGAACTACACTTTGAGGCTAGCACCGTCAAGTGGACCATGCACCTCATCCCCTCCAACAAAGACGAACTATCTCCCGGAGCCAAGGTAGACGAGATGGTGGGCAACAGGCAGCTAGACACTTTGTCAACATTCACAGAGAGTACAGCTACACCGGGAATATCAATCAGCAGCCATCACTTAAAATGCAAGGAACACAACACGCAGGCACACGTACACATTAACGGCAATGACAATGTGGCACAAGTACCACATCAACTGCCTAATTGGTCTGGGTTAGTAAATCGAAAGGAAGCGGACCAAGTACACCTGCAATCGTTGCGTTAATTATGCTTACATAATCAGTTGGCTCGTCTTTTGGCTGTTGGCCCCACGTGGCCACGCTTGTGGTTTACTAAGCCCGCTTAGTTAAGGCACTCGCGGCCGCATGTTCAACAGTACCATGCACTAGAGGTCTACGGAATAACCCCCATCTGCGCCTGTCGATTGCTCAATGGACGTTACTTTTTCTTATGCACCAGTGATTTCTTACGCATTTGGGCAACCGCCCCCTTGATATGCTCTCGCTCTTGGCGACGATTCACTGCATCGCGACAAATTCACCTTGATCATGTCCTAGTAATGCAACTTCCGCCTTCCTACATTCCGCTTCCCTGTAAGTAGTCGGCCATAAAGCAACTGTTTGGGTATCCGGATCGAATCCATGTGGCGTACATGACGGATTCACCTCAAGCCGCAACAGAGTATGCAGTCCACTGTAAACATGTCACTGCGTCGGAGAACCACCTTGTCAACAACATGGTCACCCCAGTCGATGTGCATAACCCGACGCAGACACTGTTGTTGTATTCACTACAGATAGCAGACATCCATCCGATAAAGCGTCTAGGTTTCACTGCCATATGGAAGAACGGACAGAATCAACGACTCGTATACCATCAGCTTCGTGCCAATGGTCAGCTAATGATTGTTCCACACCCGACTTTCCAGCTTTCCGAATGCGGCAGCTGACTTGACACACGGAGGTGCAGTTCCTTCATCATCCGGAGGTCGGTAGAAAGTACACTCCCCAGGTAGCAAAATCTGGAAGTGGTTTCCAGAACACTGTTACCAAACTGGATTTGAGGCAAGCACAAGGATTCAGCTCCTGATGAAAGCTGAAAAACAGTCTTGTTTGTGTTGATAGTGAACTTGGCCGCTGTCGAAGCGAGAACCGTCGTCATGTGCTGTGTGCAAACAACGCGCAGTCGTCAACAACCATATGGGCCATCTGTACTATTCCAGCCCTTTGTGCTGCTAAGCATGCTATCATGTACAATATTGCAATCTGCTGATCATGCCTAAAAGGCGTGCCTCGCTTTGTCGAGAACAAAATATTTATTTATTTATTTATATGGGTGGTTGTCTCACACACTAGGGTTCTCGTCCCGAAACGATGGATGCCCAGCAACCCACCGTCCATATTGTCCTCCACACAGACACCGTAATCACAAGCAGCATCGAAAGTACATTGCATGAAGGTAAGTATTAAACAGGGCAGGATCTAGGATACAGCCTTGCTTCACCCCAGAGACAACAGTCAAGTCATCCGTGGCTTGCTCACAGAGCTGTATCCTCACCCACATACCAATGTGCAGACATTCAATCAAACCTACGAACCTGGTCAGGCAACTAAATTTATCCAACACCATCCACAGTGTCTTGCAGTTCACCGTGCAAGCTTATCGCATACAGAAATATCTCGTGTGATTACGCCTTGCTTCATCTGCTTGACAACGGTCACGGACACAAGGTATAATGTTGGTGACAGTGGTGGCCCATATGCGCGAGCGGTGAGAGAATCAAAACGGAAAAGCCGCACCACATAAACTAAATGCCTGTCAAGGAGAAAAAATGCGCAAACACCATAACGGTGCATACGAAGTCCAAGGAAGAGGGATGCAAGGCGAAAAAAGTACCTTTAGTATAAGGTCACCAGGTTGGAGACCGATGCGATCCGCTGGACTGTTCGGAACGATGCTGGCCACGAACGTGGGATTGTCTAGCATCGGGTAGGGAGGCACTGGGGGAGGAAGGACCACAGCGGTGCCTAGATAGAGAGAAGGAATAAGAAAAGGATGATCAACAAGAGTATGACCTTGGTAGCGCAATCTTAATTTTAAACATAGCGACATGGAAAAAACGTGGAATTTTGAAACGACTGTGTAATTTTTTACAAAACACGAAAGACACTGCAATATGCTTTTAAGAAGCCGTGATATTATCATTGTTCATTGCGAATTAATTGTCATGTTCTAATACCCCAGTAATTCATTTTCGGTTAGTTAAGTTCCACTTTATCTTGAAGCGAGTACGAGATCATGGGCTAGCAACACGGGGAAGTACGCAAACAAAATGTGTGTTATGGGGTTGTGGAGGATGCTTGCAACTTCTCGCATTCCACCAGCGATTTCGCGCTTGTTTGTACATGTTAACGGTAGACAGGAGAACTATGGCTTAAGCTCGGAAAGTAGATAGTACCAGTTGACGCCTTTAGTTTTACACAAACACACAGTTTTTGAGATTGGAGACATCATAACGTTCAGGATATTGAAACAGATGACAAACTGACAAATTTAACACGAACGCGACAGATTTTGGTTCCAAAACGTCACATTCACCAGCAGTAAAGCGCCGAGAATCTGCGCCGCACGTAAGCGCTTAAACAATGGATACAGTGAAACAGACTGAGAAATAAGTGGTGAAGAGAACCAAGAGGATCACGAATTAGAAGAGCGGCTTTTTCTCGACGGACGTTGAAACGCAAAGGAGGAGGAACGTTTCAGCGCAATTGCGCCGTACATATGTAACGAGGGGTTCCAGTTCAGCCAAATAATTATGATCCGGGAACAAAAATGCAGTCGATCCGATTGTTATATGCTATTGTCTAACACACCTAAGACTGGTCACGTTTTGCTATGATAGGATTTACGAACGCAGGAAAAGGAAAGAAAGAGGTTTACAAATTAACGGTGGAACTCCGTGCATTCTGACTCAGTTGAAAACCATGGCAGTTTTATTGCAAGAGTGCCCGAAGAGGTTGCAATTCTAGACAGTAAACATCAGATGAACACCAAGAGTCTAACAGGAGGAACATGCTTATGGTGAAGACAACGTGGAATACGTACCGGATAACTCCAATCCCCACGTTCTTTCCGTGAGATGGCGATTTAGTACGATCTCATCCATGGTCCCGTTCCATGCCTTCGCTTCGCGCCATGAATTATTTGCGTTGACTGTAGGGCTGAAAAAAGAACGGAAGGTGATTTGGAAAGCGAAACGGTGCAGATGACACAAACACAAGAGATTAGAGTTGGTGCTGACATGCGACGAACCAAATGCCCCCTTACCCATTCAACAAGGACGCAAGACGTTCAGGACCTAAATGTGACGATCTATGTTTCTTCACAACATCCGCAGGGAGAAAAGAGATTCTGAAGAAGAAAAGGTATAAAATAGTAAGCGGTTAGCAACGAGAGGTCGTGAATTGTTCTCGTCATTAGAACAACCAGACAGCAGAGTATGTGGAGAGTCTACTAAGTGCAAGGAATTAAGGAAACCACAGGAGGAACTGGCGCAGGTATGAAAGCTGTGTTGCGGGTAGTGTTTTTTCTTCCATTTGGAATGGAGCAGGACGGACACACACACATCGTTGTTGATAGCGTTCCCCATGCATAAAAGTAGTCGATAAAAATTATTCCGAGAACCACATCGGTTAAATTGAAGAAACACGAAAACGAATTGGTTTGTTAGCGGGTTAAGTGAAAACAGCGATCAGTCCTCGGTATTCGCCTGTTGTGGAGACAAACAAAGAAGGTAACCAGAGGTTGACCCCAAGATAGCGTGCTGAATGATGTGTCTATGGTCAGACTGGACCACACATATGTGTTACCTTAGTGGCGATATGAATGCACTGGGCATATGGAGACCTGGTTGACTCACGGACAACAGTCAATGATGCTCGTCACATAGCAAGATGAGGATCGAAAAAGGTTCCCGTACGTTTAGAAGTGCAGATAGATGTCTGCAAGGTAGAAGTCACAGCAAGACAGCGTGGACCAGTCCGTCATCACACATTGAGAGCTTCGTAGATATTCAAAGGGAAATCTATTTCTCAGACCACTACTGAGTAGGAGCGAATGATACCAAGAAAATTGTTCATCACCACTGATAAGACTGGTAAGACGCTGAAGAACCCAGTAGCGAAGAAGCCAGAGTACCTCTGCGTAACGTAAGTACTTGTGGGCAAAAATATCTGCTTCCCGGCATCTAGATTGCATGCAAAGACATTATTTTAAGCAATGTACCCCATCGCAGTCGCTTACATGGAGTGGGCTATACAGGCTGTGCTGCAAGAAGTGTAGCCAAATGAGTTAGAGAAAACAAGCGTACGTGAGCTTGGGGTGAGGCGAACAAACCAGCGTAAATGCAACCGTTGTGTGCCTGTTCGGAGTGACGCGATACGACGCAGGCTCATAAAACGCTTAGCTTCCGACTGACCACATGCATATCACGCCCGAAAGCGAGCAGAAGCCACTCCGCTGCACTGGGAGGTGTTATCGAGCTTAGTCACAGTGGGGATTCTACTAGGTCATGCGCTAATTGATGTCAACGCAAATACACGAGGGGTCATGGGCTTCGATTCGTAACACAAACCCAGAGTTGATTAAAAGTTAGTCGAACTACAAGTAAGAGAAAACTGGATGTGAAGCATCGAAAACGAACTTCTTGGCCGCATCGACTTTTCACAGCTTCAACTGATTAAAAATTCTGACAAAATGTGTGAATGAACTGCGATAAGTAGGTCACTGGGAGTATGATAGGTGGCTTCGAACAGGTGCGCGTGAATAACGAGTGGTTAAAGCGTACCGCGAACAGTAGCGGGCAAAATCACCTAATGCTCCTTCGCCCTGTGCCGTCCCATGAAGCAGCGACAGAATGTGATGACTAAGGATCTTAGAATGATTAAATTTCCCAGTCCAGATGGAATGCGGTTCAAAGGGCAAAGATGCCAAGACAAGTAACTGTTGGGTGTAACGGAAAGCAAAGTAGCTGCTAGTGATGGCGCGGTCTAGAAGCGATGTTTAGATCTCGGCGGTTAATGTGCTGACAAGTTGCAACACTTTGCCATCATAAACGCGGTCACGTAAGGAAGCCCAAATACATCGAAGTCGATGCGGCCATACTGTCACCGAGTGTGTTCCGAAAGCCCCCCAGTCGGCTGAAAAAGGAAAAGCATGGTGAGAACCGTCTCGAAGACGATGCTAACCAGTCTCCGCGGTAGCCGGGACAAAATAAGTGCGTGATAGGCTGCGTAATGCGAAGCTTCACAAAACACTGAAGAACGGAAGCGGAGAAAAGGTGGGTGCACTGTGAAATGGTGAAGGGTAGCTGGCGACAAGTTAGATCCCCGAATGGTGCGAGGAGTGAAGTTCCCAACCACTTGGAGCGGACTGCGCGGGTGACAGAACACTTCCTACCATCCACAACATGCGCTGGTGTTAGAGATAAATAAGTAAAGCCTGAAATGTTGAACCGAAATAAATTCGACTCATATTTTGACAGCTTCAGTTCGAATATTTTGACCGGAGGATGATTTGCGATGTGGAAGAAAAGAGAAGAACTGGGACAAGGCGTGCTCAGTTTATCAGCATGAGCGCAGCAATGAAATGTAGCGAATCTAGGTGCTCTAACGCATCGGTGCAAAAGAATAATTGATACTGGAACAAATTGTGTGTGAGAGAGAGTGAAAACGAAGTGTAAAAACGCAGCATCGTCCAGTCGATAGGTTGCTTCGAATCAACAGACCGAATGCAAGTATCACGAACAACTCGACTGCCGCCGACAGCTGGTAGAGTGAGTTCGTGTCTCCCATCCAGAAAAGTGGTAAAAAATCGCATACATGCATTTCGGTAAAAAAAAATCACGAGCCCAACTGCGTCAACTAAATCTCGCATTGCAATCTTGAAGATATTGGTGAAATGCGCAGGGGGAAGTTGAACTAGAACGCCTGCAGACGTAGCAGTGGGCATAGTTGTGGGGAGTGGACGTATGATTAGAAAACAGCATCACACGGTGAAAATAGAGCACCTGGTGAGACAGTGGATGCTATGATCTAAGCCGAAAGAGATCGAAGGAGATTTGAATGTGGCCAAGTAAATGGCATTCATGTACGATGTGCCCCACAGTTAATTCACAGTTCATGGACAGCTCAATGACAAATGCATCCCATGCTCACAAATGCAAAACACCGTCATCATGATGCAAGCAACCGGCTAAAAATACGGAGTTTCGATCTATCCAGCGCGAAGAGTGTAATGGAGAGAACTTCACCGGCTGTGAAAAAAGATGATTCAGTCGAACTCACTCTAAACTGTCACACGTATCCAGAGACTTGAGCAAATTGAAGACCTCTAAATTTGTCATATTTCGCATTGAAGTGCCATTCAGAGATGTTATGTAATCGTTCGGATGCAGTACTCCAGTGAAGTGGATAGCACCACCTTTGAGGACTTGTAACACCCGACAACCGTCCTGGCCCCCAGCAGCTAGGGCATCCAGTCTCAGTCCTGCGTTAGAAGCGGTGTGGGTAGAGAATTATGACGAAAACGGGGGTAACAATCATCAGAAGGGTAAGAAGACGGTGTATGTGTTGAGCAGAATTAAAACATCTAAAGTCGAGGGGACTGCGAAGGAGAATAAATCGGTTTCTCAAGGACTATCAATCCAACGGAATCCAGAAGTCGACGATTAGAAAAGTAGTGTTTGAAAGAATAGCGCTGTAAATGAGGTGGGATTACGATGGGAGACGTGCGCCCTTAATCCAAGCTACACTGTCTAGAATAACTAGACCATTTGTTAACAATAGTAATGAGCTTATATGAGTGGGTCGAGATGTCGACCAGTATGCTAGAATATTCAGAAAAGGGCTAGAAGCCTCCATTAACGGTTATTATTCCTACCCGTTTTTCTTTTTAAATTGGCACATTTCTCGACAAGCGAGATACCTCTCCACGCGACGCGAAATGTCCACTCAAAGCAAATTGACAGACTTGGGGAGTAAAAAAAAATTGCTATGCTCCAAGGTGTCGGATGTTGAAAGGAGTTTAATGGCTTGAAAGAGTAAAAAAGAGCATATTTCTCTTCAGACATAACAAAGACCCAGAAGATAAGCTAATACGATTATGGCTCACTTGCTCCTATGCCACACCGGCACAAAACCAGATGGGGCATGGAAGTGTGGGTGAAACCTTTCGATGGACCACTCTGCATGGAAGCAAGTCCCAAGGAGACAGTCCCAAGGATGACCGCATTACTTCATTTGAATTAGCTCTATAACCACTTTGATCTTACTGTCAACTTATCCACATTGGTCGAACACCTCAAAAACCTAGTTTGGAACCGAGTTGGAAAATTTGAACGTATATCTATCCCTTACAATCCTTCATGATCAGAATACGTAGTTGGACTGTATCTCGCACAGTAGAGAAACATATGAGGGTGAGTCAAATGGTAACACCATCCTTTGTAGGACAGGTATAGTTATTAGCACAGGGACTTGTATCACACATCGAAATGAAGCTGGTCCTTTGTAGATCGCATCCTTACTTCTGAACATAGTCATGGTTTCTCTCAATAGCAATGTTCTATTTTCGAACGAGAGCATGTATCCCTGTCTCGTACAATTCAGTTGACTGTTGTTTGAGCCACTTCGACACTGCCGTTTCCACTTCACTGACACTGTAATGATGTTTGCCTCAGAAAGCCTGTTTCATGGAGTCAAAAAGATGAGAGTCAGAAGGCGATAAATCTAGTGAGTATGGAGGATGTGGTAAAGTTGTCCATTCGAATGAGGGGATTGTCTCTCTTGTCCTGATGCATGTGTGCGGTCGAGCATTGTTATGCAGAAGAAGGACTTGTCAATTCGGCCACAGTTGGGTCTCACACGTCGGATCCTTCCGCTGAGACTCAGCAAGGTCTAAATGTAGACCTCAGAGTTTAACGTTTCTCCTCTTGGCAAAAAGTAACCAGAAAGGCACCTTCAGCATTCCAAGAAACAGTCGCTCGATCACACACAAACATCAGGATAAGGGGGACAATCGTCTCATTCGAGTGGACAACTTCACAACATCCTCCAGACTTAGCGCCTTCAGACTATCTTCTCTTTGGCCTCATGAAAGAGGGTTTGTGAGGCACACATTATTCCAGTGACGAGGAACTGAAAATAACAGTGAAGAAGTGGCTCAAAGAACAATCAAGGGAATGTTATGAGGCAGGGATAGGTGTTCTCATTCGAAGGTTGAACACTGCTATTGAGAGAAACGATAACTATGTTGAGAAGTAGGGGTGCGAACCACCAAAGATCAGCTTCATTTTGATGTATGACACATGATCCTGTGTTGATAACTATATCTGTCCTAAATAATATGGCGTTACTTTTCGACTCACTATCGTACAATTAGGATGAGGACCATTTGTAGAAGTAGTATTAGCATTTAAATGCTCGGCTACATCACAGGGCCAATTGGAGTAAGCAGACAGTTCGATCACACCACAAGTGCGAATGGATTCGTGGTCTGTTGAAATTGTCTCACTTCAGCCCAGGTGACGTTCAAGTACTCGGCACCAGTTGAAGATCAAATGACTCGGCTACCGGAGGCTTGAGTTTCATTGCTTTGTTTCTGTTGAAGTCCGAGCATAATTACGCAACCCACGTTCAGTTGATCGTGTATACAGATCGGTGGATGTAGAATGTAGGAGTCTGTGTTGTTATCGCTGACAAAGAGAGAGTCACATATCGACTGCTGCTAGAACCATGAGCCGTACTAACTTAACCCGTTATCTACCAAATTGTTTTTGTAATTTTGGTTCCCTTGGGAAAGTTGTGTTGTGTGTGGTCACCACCGCTCACCATACGGCAGATGGCTGCCTCAGCGGAGGCAGTACGGCAGATAACTCTGGGTCAGCTTTGAATGTGAACCACATCACGTGAGTGCTTCAGTACAGCAGATATCAACTTTTATATATAGCTGTGCTGTATATAATACACTGGTGGATAACTACTTAAGACGGGATACCGCCCACAGCACGGTGGATATTTTTCAATCCAAACTAAGATGGCAAGAATTTGTACAAAACATCAGCATCACTCTCAGTGAGGAAGGACTAGATGGAAGCTGACATTACTGCTCGTGTCGAGCTCAGATAGAAGAGTTTAGATGCGGGACGTGGAATAAAATTTCACTCTTATAATGTACCCCGAATAGCATCAACTGTCTACAGGGCTCCGTGGCCAACGTAACCAGACCTCTTGCGTAACATCTCACCCGTGGAAGATCCCAAGTTAATAAAGTCGATATTAGATTTGAAAATTGATCCTTCAAGGTTCGGGTTCTGCGTGAATAATGGAACCAAAAGCACCTATATGGTTCATTCGAGGCTGACATAGATGTATATTAGAGAGTGACTTCATAATACACCTTTTTGACAAGAGATCAGGACGAGGCCGAGTTGGTCTCTCGGAGCAACATATGGCGTCCAGGTTGCGCTACGTATACGTAAAAAACGAGGTCCGCCAGAATTGGCCCCGAATTGCCGATTTGCTTGATCTCAGGGTGGCGGCAGATAGATTGCAAAACACTTGCGTTAACAGTGCAGCTTCAGTTTCAACACACCCACCCAACCGCAGTATTCGGAGGGAGGAAGTCGATCGGCAACTCTCAGGCCATGGCCATTTTGGGGGGTCCGTAATAAGGACAGTGTACACAGTAAAGGTAAAACTGGCGCTCAGTTATGTCGTTTATCTTATTCAGAATACCACTCAGGAGACCGTCTTGCGCTCGGGTCGTAATCCACTGATGCCGGCGACTGGCCGCACAACCATAGATCAACAACATGATTTTCGACCGCAGGCGCTTGGAAATCGCACCTACCAGACGAAACTCGGTCACGGATCGAAACTGGTCACACTAGCAGCAATTATGGAGGATGCACATCACTTTGAAGTTGTCGGTCGGTTTGGGGTATTGCATGGGTTCCGATAAAGAAGCAGTGCTTGAATGCCCAGTGCTTACCTACACGGTGAGAACGAAGAGTCTACCTTTATCATTATTCATCCGCCTACTTGAATCGCAATCCACGAAACGGGGAAACTAAGCCCGAATGTCATGCTGGCTTTAGCGACCCACTACATGGATGGGTGTGGTGTCATTTATATCTGATCATCAAAGAGGCAATCAGAGTCACCCAGCCATATAGCGAGAAGTGCCTGAAAGTATAGACCATTCTGAGGCACCAATAGGTTTGGTAGAACAGAGAAGGCTGATTCAGTCTTACAATCGATTTCAGACCAAATGTAGTCTGTTGAAACTACTTGTAACCGAACGGGGGTCCTTCCAGTGGGGAATAAGATCCAATGGACTAATGATTGACAGTACATGTTCGCATCACTGGAGTTCTTGAGATAAAATCCGTATAAATCGAAACAACCTCCATAAAAATAAGGGGCCAGACCACCATAACCTAATCGAAAAGTCGGAACACCAGCCCCACCCACTATGGGAACAAACCTTACGGATTCTTTGCAACAGTGCCGAAATACAGGAGAGACTAATTTGTTGGTCTATTCGCCCTCACTGATAATATAGTGCATGAAATGCCTACAAAATAGACGTTGTTGTCTAGTAACTATTATACACGAAAAGTACGAAGGATGTCACTTGGAAATTATTGAGACATCAATTACATTATCAGTGCTTTCGAACTGTCAATAAAAGTCACGTCCCAGCAGCTATAGGTCGAAGAACAGCGAGGGATCAAGATCATATAAGGGGGATTGGCAGACAATGCAACTTGATGAAACCACGTTATCACTGTCCTCCGCCAGCAGACTGCGATTAGTCGTTTTCGCCATACGGTCACTGTGACACCGACCACAGCACGGCAACGATGTCTCCAGCAATCCTAGAGGAAAGCAAGAGTGCATACAAAACTTTCCTCCTCCAAGCTGTGATTGAAAACATCACGGTTATGCTGACAGTTTAGACAGAGAGCTAAGCCAATGATCAGCGCAAAGTTGAGCGTACGAATGATATTGCGCTCATGAACTAAGACCCCGTATATATGCGAGCGCCAGGGGGCAACTTGACACAGAGCGCATCACCGAAATGACATGTCAATTTCCACGATTATTGGAGTACACCTCGACGGCGTGAACCTGTTCACACACCAAAGATAACTGATTCACACCTGATTATCTAAATACTCAAGTGCTTATTGCGCACATAGAAGCGGTTCGTAGGCTTATCCCTTTCCGCTAAGTGTTGTGTGCGCGATCTGACGATACAGTACCAGCAGCTGTCGTTCGCTCGCATCCCGTGTAGAACGGTACTTGAACAGGAAGCCATACGAAGTAGGGAACACAAGTGGTGACATACGACATCTCCGACACCATTCAGAAATACAAATTCCAGGAACTGGCAATGCCTAGTGCTGTGATGCCAATTCGACCTGAGGCTCACGGATGACTTGGCGTCGGTTGGCGTCTCCCGTTCGATCTACCCAGTGTAGTCGAGCGAACTAAACGCAGACACTCAGTAAATGATAGTGAATTCGACGACAGCCACTCCGCACCGGAACCCAAATTGTCATGTGCCACCAAATGGATTATGGCATTCTTTTGGGCTCAAAAGAATTGAACCACTTAGGGTGCAAGCAGCAGTGGTGAAGATAGATCAACGATCGGCCCCATAAGTGTGGACAATGATCTCTTAGACGCCAATACCCAATGGTGATGCGAAGGTAAGTGCGGACTGTCATACCCTTTGTTTTTTGTCCCGTACATCGAATGTCAAAGAAGAGAGTGGGTAGTGAAGTTCAAGTAGGGAAAAGCTGTAACGTAAAACTTGCCCAGAGTTATGGGTTGATAAGAGGGCTCAAAAACTACCAGCAATAGAGCGATAGTAACTTGGTTTCGCTTACTCCTCCCTTCACATTAGTAGATAAAGTGTCTTTCACAAGGGCGCCATGAACAACGGCATTATGTGGCCACTCAACTCAGTATGCATCACGGTGTTAAGTAAAAGGCCAAGTATAGACAGAAGGAAGATTAGGATGTGCGGTTAGTCCATCGGTCAAGAACCTGGCCGTCGACAGTACGGATGGAATGCGAACGCCATAATCACTGACTGATGGAGGGCTGGTAACTCAAACCTGATAAGGAGAACCAGGGAACAGAATTTTTGCAACCACTGCCGATCGATCGGGCAGATGCGATCTCATCTGAAGACAACCACAGTAAAACATTCGACCGAGTACAAAAGATTCTAGGAGTGCACAAGCGATTGAAACGAGGCCAGGGAACACAACAGTGATGGTCATAGCCTACGTGGAGCAAAAAGCCTCATACATCTCTCTTGGAGAGTACATCACGTATGCAGAATATGTGACAGGACGATGCAGGGAAGATAATCATCGAACCCGTAAGTTGCATAGGGCGAAAGAAAGGACAAAAAATCAATAAGATACGGAGACTAAGGGGGTTAGGTTAGGAAAACATAGTAAAAACATACCGATTGGCATGGAAAATAGCTTCACGTGAACTGACTTCTCGAGGTTCTCATCCAAGGGGGGAACATCCAAATCGTGCGCGTGCAGGTTTGATTGGAAATCCAGTTCGGGCAACACGTGGAAATCAAGTGGCTGGAAGATTCAGCGAACATAAACTAGTCGAGGATTCGGAGGGATAAAGAGCGACTTGCAGGTACTGACGCGTAAATAGTCGAGCTCTTAGTGATGAAACAGGCAAAGGTCCCGGTGGGAAGCAACGAAACGACAGCACGTCACGCACGCCTTTGAAATTGAAATCGGCGTGCTTAGTGAACAAGCGTTTCGCGAAACGAAAACACCAAAGAGCGTTACTTCTGGATATCAGGCTTTGCAGGCCGAACTCACAATCTAATGCCCTAGGGTGTTAATAAATAAGCCGAAATGAAAAAGCGCAAGTTGGTGTTGGGACGGCAACTGTTTCTGCACAACGTGTTCGGTAAGTGAAAATCCACGGGTGGTAAGTTAAAAATTGCCCAAACAATTTCACGCATGGAAGAAAGTTGGAGCCCGATTTACTTATCGGTAGGAAGGTGATTATGGTGAGCCGAAATGCAAGAAAAATGTCTGTAACTAATTCGGGATGATGTGCAACTAGTGGTCAAGTGTGAATTCTTCAAAAAGCGATCCAATCGACAAAAGACGGACTGGTTCTAACCTGGCCACCAAATTGTGGGTATGAGCAAGAAAAAAGTGCCACCACAAATCGAACACCACTTCCGCAGTAACACACAAATACACCACAGTCACGGTGGAGTAAACATGCGTACGCAAGCACTGTGCGAAGTGTATTGTTCGTAGAACACTTATAACCGTACACTGACAGCGGTGAACAATCGCATGGGTGGAATTAGTATGTCAAGTTGCGCAAAATCAACGTAGCTGTGCTAAACATCCGTCGGCTTGCACGTTCGTACTAACAAGAGGAATCGCGTATACAAGGGTATGCAGACTGTGTATCTATCAAAATCACAAAATAAATGATAAAAGATAATAAACAGGCTAAAAAGTGAGCAGATTAGCAGTTTCAGAGATGATAAACAACCACTATTGATGGAATTGACTGACAATGCGCACTCTATGGTGCATGAGGACAAAAAGCGCACTCACATGATCACTTTGGTCAATGGGATATGGGGAAACCTGTGAAGTGTACAAAAAGGAAACGAGACGAACGTCTGACTCGCATGCGAAAACAGAGTGATAAGTGTCAAAGTGACTACATAACGGCACATGCAATGAGTGCTCGGGAGGGAAGGGAAGTTATGTGATGTGCGCATGCCATAGACATTCAATGGGTTATGGCGAGAGGTCGCAACAAGCCAGAATATAAATTGATAAAATATCCGGCTACCAGCATGATGTGCGGAGAGATCCACAGATCTAACTAATGAAGGAAAGGGGACGAAAAACTCCAGAGTCAGCGAAGTGATTTGAGACTACGACCACTGAGTAGTCCGATGCGATTGAGTAGTGAAATGTGAGAAAGATCGCACGCCTCGGATGATTAGTAGGAGAGAACCGCAAGATGAATAAACCATGGGAATGCAGGACTCCGACAAGCGACAAACAGAAATATAAAGCACCCCATTCTTGAACACTTCTGCGTCAGAACTAGTATCCATGTCAGTTCTATAAACTAACCAATGCTGCTGATGAACAAGTGAGGAGGATTAGAAAATTGCCAGAATGGCACTTGAGAAGTTAAAAGCAGGATAAAATAAGTCACCCGAAATTGCCAATGATGACCAATGTGTCAGAAACAAAATTTAGCATGTTACCATGTCTAATAAAAACATTTAAAGAAGGTGTCCCAGTGGGACATGCAACTTGTGTTGAACCAGCTGCAATAGTTCACCAGTGTACCAGTTGGAAGGTGGTTCAGACAGTGGATTAAGAGTGCAACAGCGAGCAGGAATAAGACCCATCGAAAACTCCTAAAGCATGCGTGAACTGGGTAACGGAAATGATTAGGAACAGCCAAAACCGTAAACTCTATGGCAAGGGTGAGCATTCTGTGGCAGGCTGTACAAAGAAAACATCCCACAACGGGCATGCGGGGACGACATCATGGCTTAATGGTGGGACACAGAAGAAACATCAACCTGGACGACTCTTTTGTGAGTAGACGAGGATTCCATGGGGTCTAACAGCTCCAGATAGGCCCCAGAGGAGCCAGATGTGGAAGAACATTGAGAGAGGCTATGCGAGGAACGCCTGGTTGATACATGCTTCCGATGATGTTTGCGAGGCAATGTAACATTACAAATTGGTTCGTTGCGTAGCGCAGTAGACTGATCGCATACATGATGACGCGATTTAGGCCACGAGAACGAAGCAAGAGATCGAGGAGAAGTCGGTCTCGAGAAGGAATTGGCTGAATCCGATGTAGTTAGTTTGGACCGCAAATAAGACGATAGAGACACAGTGGAAGTGGTGGAGAGATCGATATCTATGTTGTCGGTGGGATCATGGCTGTCTATTGATAACTCAGATCTCATTTCCGAAGTGTGTGAGATTACGGCAACTTCATCTTCGGCTGCACTCCGTGAAACTCCGTCCAGAGCACAAGGAAGGGAGTGGACATTAGCGGAAAAGGATTTGTCGCTCAAGCTGTCGGATACGGGCTGCGTCTTTGCCGTGCTGCTTATCAGCTGTGCCATCGCGGATGTCAAAACTACATCTACCAGTTGAGTGGCCAGTGTCACCCACTTGTCCGTTGCTTGTGCCGCATAAGTAGCGCAACTCGCAGGGGACGCCTCGTGTATTAGGCTAGAAGAGCGCGAAAGGGCGGAAGCGAAGTTAGCCTGGCAAGTGCGATGCGAGCTGGGAATCGTTGATATGCTTCTGACGGCCGCCTTGATTGCGGCATTAACGAGACATGAAGCCACGGAGGATACTTCAGAGGAGCGGATGGTGGTCAGTAGTGACCAATTGGATTGGACGACTGTAACGTGCATACGTCCCGGTGTAGGGGATCGCGGACGTGGCAGCTGTGGAACATACGATATTTCAGTTGATCGGAGCAAGACAACATCATCGACGGAAAGCGAACGGAAGGTGTTAACAGAACATCGTATGGTGGGTTCACGCAAGGCGTCTAAGGACTCAGCTCCCGTTCTAACTGAATAAGCATTCAAATTAGTTGCAAATGGTGGGGGCAGAGTACACTGAAACGTAAACAGAATGAGTAAAAGAGAGGGAGGGGCAGAGAAAACGAGAGAAAAATTAGAGGTATTTGATTGAAACGAAAAGTGTCAACGACTATGATAACACCTAGATTAACTGCGACTAAGGGTCGAGAAAACAAATAGCCAGGTACTCGAAGGAGTGGTTAATAACACGGATCGGTAAAAGCCAAGTGTGTCAAATTCGATTGAAGAGAGTAGAAGACGTACCGATTGGCTAAACCAGCTGGATTCCTGCGGTGTATGCAGAACTTCGTAACAGCTATGGGGATTTGTGTCAGGAGCGAAGGTAGGATCTGCTAAGTGGGTGTCCAGTGCTGAATGGACAATCACATTTGGCTCCAGGTGCATCTTTGCGACGCCCAATAAGCAGGGTCCATTCGGCGCTGTGCGTAAAGCATTGGCAGCCTCTCGAAGACTGGCTCTAGATAAATTGCGGTCATTGATAAAAAGCAAACGATCGCCAACGGAAAGACGTCCATCCTGATAGGCGACGCCCCCAGGAACAACGCTATCGATGAGCAAGTAGGCGCGTTTTCGAGAAGAGGGTTTCCGCTTGGAAGAAGGAAGTGTAGAGGAACGGCGGAGTTTTTCAGGAGAGTTCAACACACGACGGTTACTCTCACGACGTCCAAGGGTGAAGCTTTTGCGATTTGACGTGAAGTCGGTATCGGAGACGAGTAGTTCCTATGTGGAAGATATGTGGTAAGGAAAGTAACTATCGCCAGTAAGCAAAATAGGTTAACCGTTTGTGTAGCAAAAAATACGCCATATAACCATCACTTCTTAGAAATTTCTGATAGCAAGAGTAAGCACCTTCTCAAATTAGAAGTGAAGCTAAGTGCGGATGATAACAGTGATCAGTACACAACTGAGTTAGTACATACGGTTGCATCTAATGGTGCAAAATGCACCTTACGAAGGCAACGTAGGCCGTCCACGGAGTGAAAGCGCTTACACATATTGACTTTTAGTTGACGGATGGTGAAACGTTGCACGGTACATCGAGGTAGAGTTGGCAGGTTTTGTATGCCGATGACTGAACGCCTCACGTCGCACACTGGAAAAGCAGTTGAGTGATTAGGCTAGTGAGAAGCTTACAATCACTGATGCCAAGTTACGGGGATTATGCTTCGAAACGAGCCAGTAGGCTTTTCTCGACCCGGTAATTGTACATGCTTACCGCAAGCGTTGTCAAGTCTTTATTTATATTCATATATCGGACATTAGGCAGAGTGCTACATCATATTGATTAATGTGATACAATGAAAATGGAGGAGTTGTAAAATTGCAGCTATGGGAGTAGAGTCTCACATTTCCGCCACTGTGCACGGTTTCTTGCCGTGTCCGAGAGGGTTCCCAGCCAAAGGGTCGACAACGCCCAACCACGACTGAGTTCGAGGTTGGCGCATTTAAACTCTGTGCCCAAGTCATTTGTTGGCCACCTTGTTTTCGCCTCCAGCCAATTTCTGCGTGCTCAAAGAGTGAACGGTGAAGTAGTCTTCCGCAGCGAATGGTACCCAACCCCAGTAGGAATTGCTCGAGGAAATTCGAAAAGCTGGAGAGACGATGAAAAGACCCCATGATTGACAGGACTACTGGTGAAGCAACAGATCAGGGTCGCAGAACTATGCATGGCGACGCGGATGTGTGTCCAATGCATTTCAACGTCTGAGCATTAGGCGCTCTTAAGATTTAAAGCCAACGCATCCTGAAAGGGCCTGAGAACGCTTGGGGCAGAAAGTATGACCATTTCAAGCCGTTTCCGGTGACGATACTGGGAGCCACTCAAAGCTAGATTGACTTTGGCACATAAGAGCGCGTGATCCAGTAAACACAAGAGGCATAAAATTGGGAGTAAGGAATGTTTTGCCTGCTGTAGCTTCCTGTTTTGGTTCAACATCACAAACACAACTGTGTCGAACACTTACGAATTGGCTCAATCGTTGACAAACCGCTATCAAGTCATTCTCCTTCAAATTGCATCGTAAGAAATGGTCATATCGTAGGAGAAAATGGCTCAATTTCTCTTGCGGTAATCATCATGTGATACACTCATCGGATAACCCCTTTCGTGCAAAGACGTTACAACAAGTTGTAACTCACATGTAATGGATTCTTCAGAACAAATTCGAAGAGGACTATACTCAGATGCGAACGCGGATGAAGTTGAAAAAATTTTTGGTATTGCTTCCAGCTCCTACTTTTGGTGGCTGGTCAGAAAATAGTAATTTTACCTACAAAGAATTCAATCGGAGGACAACAAATAGTAAAAGAACCGCCTACATAAAAGTGTAGATTTTCTCCTATTCAGCAGGTAGCTCTGTACATATCATCACAAGAGAGTCATGTCATCCGGTAGTGCTGGGTTGGAGCAAAAGGAAGCCATCCCAAATTAGCGCCCAATGTCCTCTGAACTGAACACTCGATCAAAATG